AAGAGTTTTAAAGATTATTTTCCTATTTTATTTAGAACATTATTTATAGGAATTTTGTTTACACTGTGAACACTTTCTAGCATAATTAATATGCTGTGCCAGCAGGTAGGGCAATTTAATTTTAAAGTTTTTGTATTAATTAAATTGGTTGGTGCAATGCCATTTCTATTATCCGATTCATCAGACATATCAAAATGGTCATCAAAAGATGGATCAGAATCATCAATATCCAAGATATGACCTGTCTCATAAATTGACTGCAGACATTTAGGATGCTCTTCCAATTTCACATTCCAAATCAGCTACTCGATATCTGAGGGCTGAAATTATTTCACTAATTTTTTAAATGAGAATATTAATAAATTGGATTATGTTTATCCGAATCTTCCTCATCTTTTTTCCCCAATTTTAAGCAAGGTTCACAATAAATATAAACAGGCATTATTGTGCTTTTCTTAATTTCTTCTTCAAAATAAGATTTCCAAAGTACTTCCAGACATAACTTGATTTATGATTAGTAGAGAGAGTTGTTATTTTATTGTATAGGGTGGTTTAAAACGTGAAATTCCATAAAAATAATTAATATGTATTGTTTGTGGAAATGAAATATGATATAGGAATAAATGTAAATGATATACATTATTCTATTATATATAGCAATAGAATACAATTCATATGTTAATTTTATTAATGTTAAATTCAAATTTAAATAATAATAATTTAATATAAATATAATTAAACAGCATTCTAAAAATTATACACGCGGCGCCGCTACCATAAAAAAAATTGGCGGCGAGCCGGCTGGCACCGATGATCTCAATCGGCGGCTGTTTCGGCGTGAATAAAATTGCCGGCGTGTGCCAGCGGCGCACAGGTCTAAGCATACTCATCTAAGTTAATATGTTATATTTAATATAACAAGATTTTAAAGACAATGAAAATTTTTATTGATTTACTAATAACAATTATATATAATTTTCTCATGTTTATAAATATAGCATAATATTAATTATTATATTTTATGGATGATTTTAAAAGAGGCAATAAAGATTTCCCATCGGCACTGTGGAGATAGGCTGAAAATGAAAACTCTTAGCATGAATAGTTATATTTTGTTTAACCATAAGTTCAGCTTCCAATGATTCTTTTCGCCAAGCAGTAGTCATTAGACTGAATATTCTCTCTGATGTAGCATTTGAATGCGGAATAGAAAATATAAAATTGCATATTTTCTCTATCAATGGTGAGTTTTTATTAGAAAGAAAATCCATCCATTTTTCTTGGGTATTCATGTGATTGTTTTTTGATAATTTTTCTTCATAATAGGAATAAAATTGTGAATATTCCTCAAGGAGAATTTCTGTATCTATGTTTGGTATTTTATAATTACCAATAATTTTTTGTAATTGTTCAAATTCTGGACATTATTTTAATGTCATAAGGCTAAGATATTTCCATATATTATCTATAATATCATAACGTTTCTAAATATTCTATAATATTTTTTATAAATATCTTTGATTCATTTTTGAAATTTATTACCTTTTCTACATTATTATGTTGTAAAAATTTTTAGAAATGCTCTCAAAAAAATTTTGTTGAATTTTTAAATTTAATAAATTCTTTAGTTTTATAATAAGATCATGTATATATATTGCTAATGGATCTTCAGATTGCAATTGTAAATTTATGTTATTGACTAAAGTGCCAACGTTAAGGACAACACCTAAATATGCCTCTGCAAAATTATCTCCAAAAATTATTTTCAAAATTGGTGGGGTTGCTGATAATGATAAAAAATATTCTTTAAGGGGTTGAAAATACATAAGCATCCGCTTAATCGCTGGGACTAATGTAAGCCAGCTTGTTGGAACATCGCGAAGTGCTGACCATTCTAAATTGCACCATTCTACCAATTCTTTTAAAATTGTAACTCTTTTTATTGAGTTGCTAAATTCATTATAGCATTTATTTACTATACTCTCAATATCATATTTAAGAAAAATTATGGCCTTTTTAAACGAATTGTGAAGAATGTGGCATTAATATTATTATTATGGCTTTCAATTTTGTCCAAATAGATTTTTCCCAAAGTTTACAGATGCGTTATCTGCACAATAGGCCGTTACATTAGCAATATAAAGTTCAGCGAATTTTAAATTTTATAGCAAGCATCTAGATATGTCTTTAGGGGTTTCACTGTCAGACGAAAATTTTTTAAGTAATTAAAAATTTATTCCATTCTTTTTGTTGAAGTATCTAAGTAATAAGGGAAATGTTTTTATATTACCTTTATTCTATGCATCCTTTAGTATTGAAAACGGATGATTGTTTTTTAGATCTTTTATAATATTTGCCCTTAATTTATTTCATTTAAAATTTTACGAGTTTTAATATAAGATTTATAAAATCCATAAAAGAAATGTATAGTTATTTAAATTCATATTATAATTATACTTTATAAACTTTCTAAAAATTGATTTTCTGTTGTGGATAATTGATCAATGAATATGATTAGTTAGTTGGACTATTAACAAATACTAAATTTTTTTAAAAAAATTTAAAATAAAATTAATTTAAAATTTTATATTTGTTTTTAAAAATATTTTGAAAAAATTTAAAAACGTGAAAAAAAGTATGAGATCAGAGACCTGCAGAAGTACCATTTGTACGGCCCGGCCCGAATTTTTTTTCAAAAATTTTTTACGACCCGGCCCGGGTTTTAAAATTTTAGGCCCGTAGAATATTTTTAAAAAAAAATTTTTTAAATTATATTCTACCTGGAATATACAAAAAATTCATTATTTCGTATTTTATCATATTTTTCGGCGAGTATTATCATTAAATAAGCAAGTATTAGCTAATGTTGTTAAACGGCTCGTTTTGAGCCGATTTTTTAAAACGGCTAACTCAATATTTTCGCCAGAAAAATATTGACTAAGCCTCGAAATTTCGATACTATATGTCTAGACCTTTGCTCCTTCTATGAGCAAAATTATCAGGCTTACAAAATATTTTTCTGGACAAAACACTGAGTTAGCTGTTTTTAAAAATCGGCTCAAAACGAGCTGTTTAACAACACTAATTTTATTTTTTTTTATTCTAAACAGATATTTAGTATATTACAAATTGATACTATAAAAATTTGTGTAAATAATATTTTGAGAATATACTATGTATTTATAAAAAAAATAAAAATGATATTTTAACTAATAAAAAATATACATATATTATATATTATATAATAATGTATTTAATCCTTTGTGTATTTATTCCATGGTAGGAAAATTATAATTTTATTATGTAATAGATACTATGAGTGTTAACTTTCACCAAACATTATATTAATCATAACTATATATAATCATTATAACCATATCTAATTGACGAATATAATAATTCATGTTGTATAAATTTTTTAAAAAAATACAACCTGGCCCGGATTTTTAAAAAAAAATTTTCAGGCCTGGCCCTGATACGGCCGGGACTTGCCGGACTTAGGGACGGGCCTGCAGGTCTCTGTGTGAGATTAAGTGTGATTATTTTAATTTACTCAAAAAACGTGAGAATCTCGGCTAAATCGTGACATCTGGCAACCCTGGCCACTATAGTTTTTAAAAAAATTACCCTGTCTAAAAATTATAAGAACCAGCCCATTAAAGTTTTACAAAAAGTGCACCATAACATTTTAAATTTTTTTGAACAAATTTTCCAGCCATCACATTTTTAATATATATCTAATTTTTTCACAATGTTAATTAAATATCTTATATTTATCCTCTATGAAATCTATTTCTACAAAAATCGTTTAATAAAACAACTGTGTTGTTAACCGTCTTGTACTGTGCATTTATAATTGTATCATATCATAAATAAGTTGTTTAATTTTTGAATTTTGTACATTATTTATAGAATTCATATTTTAGTTATACATACAGCTTATAAAATACAATGAAATAAGAATATTGTAATTTATTTTCAGATAGTAATAATAACTATATTAGCTTAAAATTCAAAAAAATATATCAAATTTTTAATTCCTGAGCTAGCTTGTTAAAATGTTACAAAAATTAAAGATTTGTAAGGTCCTACTTAGGCCGCATTCATAATGGGATCCAATCCGACACGATTTAACAACTGATCAATTTTTAAATTAGTTTATGATAATAAATCTTTTTATTAAAACCAATATTTCTTAGGTTATTATCATGTATAGAATTAAGGATAAATTAATGTTATTTAAAAAAAATAGATTTCATCAGATTTTAAAAATCAATCAGCTGTTAAATGGTGTCAGATCGTATCCCACTATGAATGTGGCCTTATTTTTTTTGTATAAATTGTCCATCCCAACTTAAAATTTTTTATGAAAAAATTGCCTGTCCTATTACATTTTATTTGCTGCCTTGCTTGGCCTGCTATAATTCTTTTTTTAAATTTTTGGTCTGGCCAGGAGGCTGAGTTGGGCTTTGCAGATTTCTAATTTTCATTATATATTATTTACTATTATTTGTGTTATTATTAATTATTATTTATTTTTTTTATCATAAAATTATTTATTAATATCATATAATTATTATAATCATATATAACAATTAAGCTCATCAAATTTTAAGTAATGCAAAATAAATGACCCCAACTTGGTCAAAAAAAGATCCCAACTTTGGGTTGAAGTCATATATAACCTCAATTTAAAAAAAAAAGCCTTGAATTTTGGATTAGAGTTACAACTTATGCCATAACAAAATATAAATCAGTAATAATAAGAAGAACTTTATTATATGAATATCTTAAAAAAGGAAAGATGACCTTTCTTAGAAGTTATTTTTACATATCTAAAGGGTATAAGGATGAGATTAAATGGTCAAACTTTCATTTTAAATTTAATCAGTATATTTTATAGATTAAAAAAAATACCTATGATTTAACCATGAATGCATAAATCATCAACGCTTATAGAACAATTTTAGAGTTAAATAAAATAATAATAGATTGAGTACCATAAAGTTATTGAATGAATGGGTCAATAGTGTGGATATTGTATTGAGTGTGTGTTTTGAATTTATGTCAAGATCCAAGGAATAGTTAAATAAAATGCAAGAAGGTGAATGTTTTCGGTGTTCATCTCTTAATTTAATTTTTAATTAAAAACATAAATTCTTAAAGTTACATAGGATTATCATCAGAGTCCCAACCTTCAAGTTCTTTCCAACATATTATACAAATTGCAACATCATTGCATTCTTTATTTGGTGCATAAACAAATCCAGAAGAAGCCATCTTAAAAAATATAAATTCATTTATGTTGTTTGATATCTTAGTATAAATTTAAAACAATATTCTTACTTTTTCAGCATTACATTTAGATTTTTTTTTATAAGGCCACCCTTTGAAAGTTAATAATCTATGTTTTTTGTAAAGGTAATAAGGTATTTTTTCACTAATAGCAAATAAATATTGGTTATTTTTTAACTCCGTCTCCATAATATATACAAAAATAATTAAATCTTTTGTGATATCACTCTCTCCAAGTTTTAGAAGGTTTTGAAATTTGTGAAAAAATTTAACCAATCGGACCAAGCCTAACCTTTGATAGTGCAATACTAAATTAAAGTGATATTGCTTAAAAATTTGGCAAGGAGGTGAGGGCTACGATTTCTTTTTATATTACTATAAAATATATATAAAATCGAATTTTCTATTACGAATATTAATAAATTATTTATTTATATGATACTTTAAAAACAATGTAACAAATTTAATATCACCGATAACTATACAAATTAAATAATATATAAATGCTTCTTTTTCTTTAGGCTGTATTTTTGTTTATATAATTTAATTCACTTGTGAATATTCCATTTCTATATTTTGATATAAGTATCTAATTCATTCTAATATCGAATATCCATTGATATATATATATGAATATGGACCATACATTTAGCAAATTATAAACTCTTAAAGTCGTTCGTATATCTGCATGATCAAATAATAAGATAAAAATCCTTATTACACTAGACATTAGAATAAAATATCCAAAAAGTTAAAGAATTTTTTAATATTTTCATAGAAATATCTTCATCGATATATTGTCGGAGTATACATCACATTCGTTTAAATTGAATCTCTTTATTTACTTATCGCCACATCGCGCATTTAGGTTTCTAGAATTTTTAGAATAAAGTAAATATCTAAAAAAATTTCTAAAATAGAAAAATAATTTTATTTAAATTTATTCAAGTCATTTTACTTTAATTTTTAAGCTATCTATTAGTCAGGGCTGCATGATGCTTTCTAGAGAAATTAGATGCCTATTTTTACTCTTATTAGTTTTGAATTATTTGGTTTATTTTTAAAATATTTCTGAATAGAGAGGAACATCTGGAAATATTTACCAACATACAGAATCTACATGAGAAATGGGATTAGAAGTGATTTGCCTCTAATGTATTTGAAGGGGGGGGGGGGTAGTAGTGCAAATATTTATAGATTTAAGATAAAAATAATTAAATTTATAATATATATACTTCCCATTCATTGGCGGATGAAATTATACACACTAATGATCGTGCTTAATATTTTATATGCGGTTGGTAAAAACGAGTTGATTACCTCTTACTATGATTATTAGTTATTCCTTGCCTAAACAATCATGAAACCTGAGGGAGTTTGATTGGAATTGTTTTGAAAATATAAATGGTGGTTCATCAGATGATATATTTTTAGTTAATATCATGGGGTTGTTAGGGAATATGGATAGTTAAATATAACCGCTGAAGGTCGCGAATTTTTATGGGGGTTGGGATAGATTTTAGATAAGGTAGGGAGTTTTCTTCCAATCAATTTGTGTTATTTAAGCTTTTCCTACACAATCTTTTGTTATTTTCAATATGATTTTATGATTTCTATTAAATATTAGTCATTCAATAATTGTTAATTTGCAAAAGAACACCAAGAACCTAAAAAAAATATATCCTAATTTCTAATTTCTTTAAAATTAATGACTTATCCTAGCAACATCTACCTCTTTGAAAATTTTACTTAGTTAAAATTGGAATATTTCTTGGCTTTAATATTATTAAATCAGCTAAATCCTAACAGTTGAAAAAATACGCTAGACCTTAAGGTAATAATATATATTTTTTAAGATTAAGCTATCATTTAAGCTTCAACTTCAATCGAAGCTAATATGATAGATTTTGTTTTAATCGGCTTAGCATTTTAGAGTTGGGTCAAAACCTTTTGAAAATGGAGAACCACTACTTGTTAGATTATTCAATAGTATTTGATAAAATATTAATGAGTTATTAGTTAATAATCATTGCAAATAACATTTACCACATAAATCAATAAATTGTATATATAAATAAGAAATTTTGTATTATTATGACAGAAGCTGAGGTATAATTTAAAAAAAACGAAATATAATTTTACAAATTGAAAAAAATATAAATATAGACTTTACTCTCAACCCTTCCCTCACAAAAATATAACTTATCAATCCAAAATAATCCCTTTAATAATCTATATATATAATCCTCAAAAAATGTCAATCAAATTTAGCCAATAGTTTTCTTTTAAATATTATTTGTCCAATCAAAATGATTATAGCAAATTTGATCAATGGTAATCAACGTGAAAACTAAATCATTCATTCACAAATCACTTCCATAAAAACCATACCACATCACTCTATAACCATATCATTACAAAAAATAATTTCATCTACTATTACATCTTACAGATATTTCTTATTAATATATATAATATATAATTTAATACACATATATAAAAAGTTTTTTTATAGGTTACAAAATAATGGAAAGAAAACAAAACAAGGTAATAAATTTTTTTTACAATTTTGATTAAAGATAATATATATAATATATAATTTAATACACATATATAAAAAGTTTTTTCATAGGTTACAAAATAATGGAAAGAAAACAAAACAAGGTAAAAATTTTTTTGCAATTTTGATTTATTTTGTTTACAAAATAATTTAGCTAAAAAAGCCAACCTCAATTAACATAAATCTAGAAAAAAATTAAAATTTAGAAAATATATAATTACCTAGCTTTATCATCTGAAATAACCTTGAATGACAATGGAATTGTATTTTTTATAATTAAAAAATTTATAAATCTAGAACAAGGTTAAATTTTTTTGATTTATTTTGAGGATCACAGTCCAACAATTTCTTAAATCCAGTAATCAGGGGCCTTAATTAAAAAATGTGGATCCACTTTTTTTAGGAAAGCCAACCTCAATTAACATAAATCTAGAAAAAAATTAAAATCTTTATAATTTCAATTTACACGTTTTTTTCCAGGTTCTTTACGGCAAACTACGAGCAAGGAAATTACAACATTATCTTCAAAAACGAAACCACATTGAGCAAAGAAAAGAGAACTTCTTCACCATCGCTAAATCATCTTCCTCACCAGCAACAGTAAATTCTACTTTATAATTAAATTTACACGTTTTATTTCAGGTTATTTACGGCAAACTACGAGCAAGGAAATTACAACATCATCTTCAAAAACGAAACCACATTGAGCAAAGAAAAGAGAACTTCTTTACCATCGCTAAACCATCCTCCTCACCAACAACAGTAAATTCTATTTTATAATTTCAATTTACACGTTTTTTTTCAGGTTATTTACGGCAAACTACGAGCAAGGAAATTACAACATCATCTTCAAAAACGAAACCACATTGAGCAAAGAAAAGAGAACTTCTTCACCATCGCTAAACCATCTTCCTCACCAGCAACAGTAAATTCTACTTTATAATTTCAATTTACACGTTTTATTTCAGGTTATTTACGGCAAACTACGAGCAAGGAAATTTCAACATCATCTTCAAAAACGAAACCACATTGAGCAAAGAAAAGAGAACTTCTTTACCATCGCTAAACCATCCTCCTCACCAACAACAGTAAATTCTATTTTATAATTTCAATTTACACGTTTTTTTCAGGTTATTTACGGCAAACTACGAGCAAGGAAATTACAACATCATCTTCAAAAATGAAACCACATTGAGCAAAGAAAAGAGAACTTCTTCACCATTGCTAAACCATCTTCCTCACCAACAACAGTAAATTCTATTTTATAATTTCAATTTACACGTTTTATTTCAGGTTATTTACGGCAAACTACGAGCAAGGAAATTACAACATCATCTTCAAAAACAAAACCACATTGAGCAAAGAAAAGAGAACTTCTTCAGCATCGCTAAACCATCTTCCTCACCAACAACATTAAATTCTATTTTATAATTTCAATTTACACGTTTTTTTTCACGTGACGATCGGAGTGTATATAGAATTTTTGGGATTAGGAGGTAGTTCTTTAATAGAAAGAACGCTTGGTGGGCTGCGAGGCGAGATAGTGTATCGCGCATGAGGGATATCTCTAGTAGAGTGTCGGCCAAGAACTTGACAAAGGACTCGTCTTTACCCACTGGAGATCCGAGATGTGTTAAGAAGTTCAATGGTGTATGATTGAACATAGGATCATAGTTAAGGTCGATGATTCCAAGAGGACAATATTCGCTCTTGTCTTGATTGATTCGCAGTCCCAAACTGCTCTCGCTGGATTTTATTATTTCGACCGCCTTCATAACTTTGCTGGGTGAGCCGCCTAGTATACCATCGTCGATATACCAGTTATGAAGGTTTAGTTTACATTGGTCATTTATGCCTTGTATTAGGCTATTAATGCCCAGACAGAATAAAAAGGAGCCTAGAGGGTCACCTTGTTGTATTCCATTACTAGAAGGAATCAATCTATCTCCAAATTGAAGATGCGATGGACTAGCATAACAATCGAAGATGAATTGCGAGTATTCTGAATAAAGGCTAAGGATGGGATTAAGAAACGCTGAACGTTTTAGAGAGTTAAAAGCGTTTGAAAAATCTATCTTAATTAGGATATCGTCACTGGGGTCTGTTTGTAGATACATTCTGGTCATGTGTAGGGATACCTCACATACCCCTTTTACGTTGACTCCTAATTGATTAGGGCACAGGTGATTGGATACTGTGAACAATATTCTGCTCACTACTAGCTTTGCGGTTAATCGGCGCCAAGTGGTCCCAATAGCGATAGGGCGAATATCTTTATTAGGTTTATGGAGGGCGATGAGTTTAGCTCCATAAAGGAGTGGAATAATGGTGGGTGGTAAGCCTCCAGCAAGCATACGGTTGATGAGTTGAGTAATTTTTTCCAAAACGTCGCATTGTTGTGTGATGTAAGGTGCGGTTAGATCCTATAGGAATATTGGGCGAAACCCATCAACCCCCGGTGAAGAATCGCGTTTGAAGGAGAGAATAGCCTTTCTAACCTCGCTTGAGGTAAAAGTGGTTGCAATTAGAGGAGCTTCGGGGTAAGACGGTATTTCGTCCTTAAGATCGTGTGGGTGATGTTTTAGGAGAAGAGCTTGATAAGTTGTTTGATCGTAGGGAGCTAGCTTATTGTCAGATGTTGCCAGTCGTATGGCAGATTTAACATTCAGGTTATCCAGCTTTTTAGATATAAGCTTGGCCTTGGTGAGTAGGTCATTTTTGTGATTTTTATTTTTATCAGTGTCATCACCTTTAAAAGATGTGGAAAAGTGACTGATGGGTAAGGGGTAGATAGTAGAATCCTTGATTTGCTGTGTCATAAATTTTTTGCTGGCAGGATCAGGAACTTGCAAGGTAGTAAAGGCAAATGACAGGGTGTCTAGCCAGTGTTTTATGGAAGAATAATTATTTATCAAGGAAGTCAAGTTCTTTGAGAGGTGTTTGGCAACTTGAAGTCTTGCTCCCTTAGGTATTCGTGAAATCACAAATGGTTTTGGTGTGACTAAAAATATTTCTACATCTGTGGAGTCGGTTGGATTAAAAGTGAGAGCATTTTCGGCGGTTGAGGTGGGGACTATTGGGCTAGTAGGCACATCAGTCAACGTGGGAATGGTAACTATAGGTTGTGCGAGGGCAAGGGCAGAAAAGGCATTTAGGGTTCGAGGGATAGCTGGTGATAAGATGGGAAGCCCAGATTGAGGACATTTTATCTTATTGTTTTGATGAGATGGCAATAGCCCCAATTTGGTTACTTTAACGAGTTTATTACATAAAGGGCAGTTAGATTTGGTAGAAGCTGTGTTGAGGTTTGGTAAGCTCATGAATTAAAATTTTTTTATCAGTTTAAGAGTGAAAATGTTGGATATTATTTTTATCTTCAAATATGGGTTTCCTATGGGTTGGTATATTAAGGAAGTTTAATGAGTTATTTTTTTTTGATTTTTGATAAGATTTATTCAATATTTGAGGTTTGATTATGGAAGATGATTTACTCATAGTATAATTATGTACAAGTGATCATATAGAAATCCCACTTTCAATATCATTTTCTGGATAAATATTTGGTGAAATATTATTAACTGAATAAATGTTTGGCAATTTTTGATAAGATTTATTCAATATTTGTTTGATTATGTAAGATGATTTATTCATAGTATAATTATGTGCAAGTGATCATATAGAAATCTCACTTTCAATATCATTTAATTTTTGTATTTATTTGAATTCATATTAGTTTGCTGTCTAGCTTGTAATATTTAGTTCATATGTTTTTGCAAAGATGAATTACTCATAGTATAATTGTGGAGGTTTTGTGGGAGTGAGATGTATGTGGGTAAACTAAAAAATTGTGGGAGACTCCCACTGATGGGGGGAGACATGGCAACCCTGCACAGAAATGAGATCCAACTGATGCTAAAAAAAATTATAATAAATTTGATTATTTATGTAAATATTTTTTTAATTTAAACAAACCTATATCCTCGATAGGATCTTCAAATAAATCCTCATACTAATAATATTTTAAACAATTAAAATGTGAATAAAAACTTTCTGGACAATTTTGCTAATTCTCTCGTTCAATCGTTAAGCCTCGAGATTTCGATATTATATGTATAGACCTTTGTTCCTTTCTATAAGCAAAATCTTCAGTCACAATATTTTTATAGATGAAATATTGAGTTAGCCGTTTTTAAAAATCGGCTCAAAACGAGCCGTTTAACACCAGCAATGCACAGTAATGATATCTGAATATTAGCTGTCAACTCAATTATTAAACCTCACTCGTCATATTAGCCGATATGACACTTAATTTTAAAATCTAAATACTACATTCCTACTCCCTATCATCAAAGTGGTGGTAATATTTAAAAATGCAAGTAAATTATTTTTTTAGCATTTTTATATTTATATTTTTTTTAATAAAAAAGTTAAGGTGTAATCAGGAACTAAATTTAAAAAACTTTTTAAATACATTAGATGAAGAGTATATTAATATTCAAATGAAATTGGAAGTAACATTAATTTATTATAATATGACATGACATATATTTTTTTTTACTAAGAAAAGCTATATTAATATTAAACAAATCAAATGCATCTATAATATTGAAAAAAATGTTTTATGGTTTCAAAAAACTTTTATGATAAACCTTTTAATTTTAAAAGTTATATATAGATTTTTTTACATAATGTATTAGAATTTTAGAATTTGTTATTAGATTGTAGAATAATCATTCAAAGGATTAATGATATAAATAAGAACAATAAACAAGTTTATTTTCTATATGCATATAATTATATTTGTGTTTAAAATGTACAAATGAAATATTTTAGATTTATCAAATATTTTTCAAATTGCTTCTTTTGTTTATTACATTAGAGTGTTTTAAGGTTATTTTTAATTATGTTAAATATATAATTTTATTCTACATTGTTACAAAATTATCCAAATTTAGATTCTGAAATTTTGCAAACTTTTGAAAATCAAGCCTCCCTTATACTATCTAAATATAATTATATTTGTGTTTAAAATGTACAAATGAAATATTTTAGATTTTTCAAATTGCTTCTTTTGTTTATTACATTAGAGTGTTTTAAGGTTATTTTTTAATTATGTTAAATATATAATTTTATTCTACATTGTTACAAAATTATCCAAATTTAGATTCTGAAATTTTGCAAACTTTTGAAAATCAAGCCTCTTTTATACTATCTAAATATAATTATAATTGTGTTTAAAATGTACAAATGAAATATTTTAGATTTTTCAAATTGCTTCTTTTGTTTATTACATTACATTATTTAAATAAATTAATATTTAAATATGACTTAATAGAGTGATTTAAGGTTATTCTTTAATTATGTTAAATATATAATTTTATTTTACATTATTACAGAATTATCCAAATTTATTAGATTCTGAAATTTTGCAAACTTTTGAAAATCTAGCCTCCCTTATACTATCTAAATCATTTAATTATGATTTATTAATTGAAGGTAAATTTAAAAAAAAATTTAAATATACTCTCACTAATTTTCTCAGCTTGTGAAACTACAACCGAAGATTACCAAGAACAATTTAATATACTAGACACTGCACTCTCTCTTTGTAATGTAATTGACACATCTTCTATGGAGATATTTGGTCAGAAAATTTTGCCAATACAGTTAAAGAATTCCATGAAAAATATAGAAATATTACAGCAAATTTTAAATGAAGATAAAAGGACACATAAAAATCTGTTTGCAAACATGCAGAGCTGTAGTAGTTTATTGGTAAATTTTTTCTATTTTTTTATCATTATATTTTTTTTAAAATTTAACCAGTATAAAATTACTATAATATAAATAAAATATCATACAAAATTATCCAATGTTAAAAAATATAAATTGATGAGCATGACTAAAATGTGCATTCCTAAAAGAATATAAAATTGTGTTTAGCTTATTGATATGATTCAGAAAACGTTTTTTTAATTTAAAAAAAACTGAAAAATTGGTAAAATATAAAAACACTTTTTTATGACTAGAATACACATCCCCATATGCATCTTTAATAATTATGCAGTATTTTAAAAAAAAATGAATGCAGACTCATGTTTGGCTTTTTAAAAGGATTCAGAAAATGTTAATATTAATTTTTTAAAAATTTATTAAATTAATGGGATATTGAAAAATATTATTTTTTGACTATATTTCAAAATTTCACATAAGTGAATAAATAATAATTCATGTCTTACTTTTTATAGTAATCTGGTAAATATTCGGTTGAAAAAAAAGACAGCAAAATTATTGAAAAAATTAATTAGGTAGAATACATGAATTTAATTGTGTCTATAAATACTAAGGTTCCAAAAATATGCAAAAGTAAATTTTAAATGTAATGTACAGAAATATTTTTGAAAAATTAAAGTTATTTTTGAAAAATTAAAGTTTTTTTTTTGACTAAGCCAATAATTTATATGAAATATTGCTAGATAATTTCTTATTATAACAAGTGCAAATAAGGGCCAGGCTTAGCCATAATTATCTATCTAATTACATCTTTTTGCTTACATTTTTAAATGCTAAAATCTTGAAATTTAATAAAACTAATAATATCCAAGAGGGCATATGCAGAGATGAATATTAAAAATAGGTTCAGTTCTTGACATGGGTTTATATTGAATATATAAAATAAATTTAAGCAAAAATATATGAATATGGCAAAAAAATGATTCTTTATGTTGTGGTGTCACTAGTTAAGGCTCTGTAAAAATTTATCGGCTAGATAGTAATCTATTTAGTGCATTTCACTTTGAGATTCTTCTGTTGTCCATTTTCATGCATACAGGAATTATGTAATAAAATAAATTTTATAAATGACCTTGAAAAGTAAAAACCGTTTAAAAAAAGTTATAAAGACTCTTGGACTGGGGCAAAAAATATGTGTGTATACTTTTTGCATTACCCAGTTCGTAATGATTTTTTATGATGAAAAAAGACTGGTTTTATAAGTTTAAAAAGTTTGGAAGTTTCAGGCAGGCCGGTTAATTTACATAAGTTACCCTTCCCTTAACCTTAAGGTTTCTGGTTGGGATGCTGTTCTCTGATATCTATAACTAGAATTTGTAAACTAATGAAAAGAAAGAGCAGGAATACCCGTTTTGCCAATTTTGCTAAAAAATTCGCTTTGATGAGCCGCCCACCACTCTAACAAATTATCCACCTTAAATGTTTCATCTATTTTTTTATTTATGTAATTATAATATTCATCATCGGGTATTGACATATTACCAAAATTACCATCGCCCCATTTGTAATAAAACGATTCAGTTTGTTTAACAACAGTCGTAATTTGACTGATCTATGTATTTCATTTACTTCCTGAGCCTCTTGTAATTTAATATAATCTTTTATATAGTTTTCCGTCATCTTGCGATCTGTTCCTGACAACATACGTAATTGCTTGAATTTGGGACAGAGAAAAAGAGAAATAAAATGATACTTGTGTAAAACAAATTTTTTTAATTAAAAAATGCTTTATATTAAGTAAAATCAATTTTATTTCTCCTTTTTCCCTTTGAAAGGTATTACAAACTTCAAGAAGTGATATTCATTTATTTGATTGTTTTAGTAAAATATATTCTAAAAATTTAGATGTGAATTTTAAAAAAATATATTAATAATACTTGAATATTGGGGCTTATTTAAGATATTCCTTTATTTGATTGTTTTGGTAAAATATGTTGTAAAAATTTAAATATGAATTATAAAAAAATATATTAATACTTTGAATAAATTTGCAGGAAATTAATAGTTAGATCGATCTGTGGGTGTTAGGTAGTGTTAACCATCACCCAATATTATATTAATCATAACTATAATATAATATAATCTTATAACCATTAACTCATAATGTAAAAATTTTTATAAAAAATATTAAGGCCCGGCCCGGATATATTTTAAAAAAAAATTTTTAGGCCCGGCCCGGATATGTTTAAAAAAAAATTTTTTAGGGCCGGGCCTGCAGGTCCCTGCTAAATATATTATAAATTTTAGGTAAAATTTAATCAAAAATTTCTCTTGTTTCAAAAATCTTCCAAAATTTTTGCTCGCTCAAACGATTTATTTTCAAACTCATGGATTATTAAAATTAAAAATGTGATTTATTAGATATGGAAATAACCTAAAAATAAGTAAATCCGATGGCAACATGTTAGATAGTTACAAATAATTTGGGGTGTACCGATATCCCTTTTTGGGCCGATCCTATATTCCCGATATTAAATTGATATCTGCCGATTACCGATCCTATATTATATCTAATTTTTTATTCTGTAAAGATACCAATGGTTTTAATTTTTAATATACTTTTTATTAGTATAACATCTATAATTTAACTATACCATAACTTATTTCATTCAAATATATTATATATTATAATGATCAGTTATAGGGCTACATGGAGTTGCAATACGATTGAGGCCAATTCATACAGGATAGAATTTTTATTTTTTTGGATTCCTAGTATTCTAGCAAATTTTTTGATTTGTCCATACTCCACTCGAATTTTTTTTTTATTTGATAGAATATCATCCTTTTTGTAAGGTTTACTAGTTTTTCATTTTATCCTTGGACCTTATAAACATTCCTATATTCTTGTCCTTCTTCAGAAGATTTATCAGAATTACTTATTATATTTAAATCTTCATTCTATGTCCCACAACTGTTATTTTCCTCTTTTCAAAAGATCTAGATATAAGACAGAACAAAGTAATTATTTCATTTTGATAACTGAAATCAAGTCTCATGATAACAGGGAATTAATTTTTTGAATACATTTGGTCGATTGACCCTATAAAGTCACCTGGAAAATTACTCTATTGGATATTTAATTTGTAAATAAATAGGGTTCCTTTAACGGCTTTAATGGGAGAAATAGATTTCAGGATATACCATTTGTGAGGATTTAGAAAATTAAAAGATCTTAATATTTACACCTGTTAGATGGATTAAAAATTTTTTTAAAATTATATAAATAAATAAGGAGTTCCGGATTACACATTATGGTCCCCTTACTTAAATTTACTCAAAGTTCCGTTCCCGGAACGTTCCGTTTTAAGTCCCTTGTTATAAGTGAATAAAAAATATATTTTTATATTAATTTTTAATATATAAAAATTTTATATATCATGAAATTTAATTATTTATAAAATATATAAATTAATAATACTTTAAATTGTGATCAACCATTAATAAAACCCTTGATGAGAAGACCTAAAAATAGCGAAATTTCAAATAATCACACTATAAATAAATAAATTCTAAAAGATATTAAATATTTTATATCTATGTATATGTTAGCGTTAATGTTATTTTCGGCAATGTGTTAGGTAAGGTGAATTTGTTATTTCGGCAATGTATTCTTTACAAATTAATAAATTTATTATTTATTTGAGATTAATTTATAATTTATTTGATATTCCGTGATCCGTAATATATAGCGCATATGCCCTCTGACGTTGAATAAACAATAGAGCTACGCTAGGTTTTCCCCATTTCCATCTAATTGGAACATAATTGATGTAAAGTTAAAAAATATGAGAAGCCCTCTACACGTTCGTGGGCAAGCCGCACGTACTTGTACGCGCAACATTTCCAAAAATGTTACAGACGTCCATAGGCTTTAAGAAAAAGAGCCTAAGCCCAAGAACTGCAATATAAGTTAATTACTTTAAAGGTGGGTGGTGGCTGATTTTAAGTTTAAATTCTTTCGTGTAAGTCTTTATGATTGCTATCAATATTGAGATTTAAGGTTCATAGAATCTGAAATAAAGATGATTAAATAAAAAAAATTATCCTGGTCAGTATGATATAGCATTATTTTTTGTTGATGATTTATCCATACAATACAGTATTACCACTTATACTTCTAAATCTTCCAAAAATTAATTTTCCAATTACATACGATATTCTAGAATATATAATCTAAATTTTCAATATTAAAACTTCCCATTCACTTTATATAAAATATTTTATTTGTAAAAAAATATCAATATTGTAATTTGTTTCCTTAACGTTTAGTAAAATAATTTTTTTAGTATAAATGTATTTGCGATGAGAAATTTTAATAAATTTTAATTTTTTAGTATTATTTGAGAGGAATTTATTATTTTTAAATTTATTTTTATAATTTATAGTCAGTACATTTTTTAAATATTATTTAAAGTTTGTTAAGGTTTTTTGGACGGTTAAAGTTTATTGATCTTATATTTTATTTTAAATATATTTTTTTGAGATTTATTTTGATGTGTTATATTTAGTGTTGCGTAATCGGCTAAGCCTAATTAGGCTAAGCCTAAAAATCGGCTAAGCCTAAAAATCGGCTAAGCCTAATTAGGCTAAGCCTAAAAATCGGCTAAGCCTATTAGGCTAAGCCTAATTAAGTAAGCCTAAAAATCGGCTAAAACTAAAAATCGGCTAAGCCTAATTAGGTTAAGCCTAAAAATTGGCTAAGCCTATATATATCTGCTAAAATTAAATTAGTCAAAATTCTGCATCGATGCTTAGTATTAATTATTATTTATTTATTTTAGTGTAAAATAATTTATTTTATTTATATTTAATGTAAATATTTTATTATTATCAACAAATAAACATGATATGATTTAATATTTTTTATTTATATTATTATATTTTGAAATGAAAATAAATTTATTTATTTGATGTTATTTTAATAAAAAAAATAATATGCTGCTATATTGTAAAATTGTAATATTCTTTTTAATATAATT